GGGTTTCTCCATGTTGGTCAGGTTGGTCTCGAACTCCCAACCTCAGGAGATCCTCCCGCCTCAGCCTCCCAAAGTGCTGGGATTACAGGCATGAGCCACCATGCCCGGCTGACCCTATTTTCTTAACTCCAAATCAGGAATCACCATTCAGCTAGCACCAAGACAAAATGTCAACTGCAGCTGTCCTGAGAACTCCAGGACATAAATTCATGGCAGCCTCTAGACAGCAGCCATCTGTGTGCTGCACCCCCATCCCCACCTTGACTTGTCCTTCCCTACCTGACTTCCACTTCCGGTTTGTTGTGTCGTTCCACAACCTGGGAGGAGAAGTTCTCCAGGCAGAGGGCAGCCTGCAGCGTGGCCCGCACGGCACTCAGATAGGGGCGGAGAGTGGCAGTCTATAGGAAATAACACGAAGGGCAGAGAAGATCAAAATCTGTCACACCAAACCCACTGATCCCCTATTCCAGCTCCCACGAAGCCAAGTAGCACTGAGGGTGTGAAGCTCTTAAGACACCACAGTGCACCGAACAGACTAGGCCTTCGAGATGCCGTCCAAGGTATAGAGTGGTCGTTTTCAACAGAAGACTACTTTGCCTGCCAGGATACATTTGGCAATGATGAGACATATTTTCTTTTTCTTTTTAAACCTGGAGTCAGACCAGGGGAATGCTCAGATGATATATATATATTTTTGTTGTTGTTGTTGTTGAGATGGAGTTTCACTCCTGTTACCCAGGCTGGAGTGCAATGGCGCGATCTCAGCTCACCGCAACCTCTGCCTCCTGGGTTCAGGCAATTCTCCTGCCTCAGCCTCCTGAGTAGCTGGGATTACAGGCACGTGCCAGCATGCCCAGCTAATTTTTTTGTATTTTTGGTAGAGACGGGGTTTCACCATGTTGATCAGGATGGTCTCGATCTCTTGACCTCGTGATCCACCCGCCTCGGTCTCCCAAAGTGCTGGGATTACAGGCTTAAGCCACCGCGCCCGGCCTGCTGAGATATTTTCAACTATCGTGACTTGGCGGGGAGAGGTACTGCAGGCATTGAGTGGACAGATACCCACTAAACATTTGACAATGCATTACAAATAATTATCCAGCCTCAAGTATCAATAGTGCTGAGGCTGCGAAAGTGATCTAGAGACATACCAGTGAAATAATGATTGTCTTCAATCTTTATATGAGGCCAACAAATATATAGGTCTACTATTTGCCAGGCACTGAGCTAACTGGGAATTCAAAGATGATTAACACTATCGCTACCCAGACAGGTGTCAACTGGATAGCAGATATGCAGAAAATAATATGATATAAAGGAAGATGAAATGTGAAATATTTAGACTTACAAGTAATCTGTATTTGCAGACAAAACTGGTTTTGATTTGAAGATGAAATGGGATTAGGACTTTATAATGAGACAAAGCAGAATAAGGACATTCTTAGCAGAGGGATTAGCTTCTAGCTGCACTGGTCAGTCCTTACAGCAACCAAGTTCTTTGCCACCTCAGGGCTTTACACATACTTGACCATCTATTTGTAGGCTTTTCTCCTCTTTCTTTGCCTAAGTCATCCTTCAGATCTCAGCTTAATTAAGGAAGGCCTCTTAGAGGAGCCTTTCTTGACTTCCCCCTATAAGCATTTATTACAATTTAGAATAAAACATCTTTGTTTTATTTTTTGATTTTTTTTAACATTTATTCTTTTATTTTTATTTTTTTGAGATGGAGTCCTGCTTCTGTCGCACAGGCTGAAGTGTACTGGTGCAACCTTGGGTCACTGCAATCTCCACCTCTCGTGTGTTGAAGTGATTCTCCTGCCTTAGCTCCCAAGTAGCTGGGATTACAGGTGCACACCACCATGCCCGGCTAATTTTTGTATTTTTAGTAGAGGTGGGGTTACACCACCTTGGTCAGGCTGGTCTCGAACTCCTGACCTCAGGTGATCTGCCAGCCTCAGCCTCCCAGAGTGCTGGGATTACAGGCATGATCTACTACTCCCGGCCTTTATTTTATTTATTTATTTAAGACAGTCTAACTCTGTTGCCCAGACTGGAATGCAGTGGTGCAATCTTAGCTCACTGCAACCTCCACCTCCCAGGTTCAAGTGATTCACCTGCCTCAGCCACTAGAATAGCTGAGAATACAGGGGTGCACGACCATGCCTGGCTAATTTTTTATTTTAGTAGAGATGGGGTTTCACCATGTTGGCCAGGCTGGTCTCAAACTCCTGACTTCAAGTGATTGGCCCATCTCAGCCTCCCAAAGTGCTGGGATTACAGGCGTGAGCCACCCACCGCACCTGGCCTCCTTTGTGCCTTTGTAAAGTGATTTCTCCTTTACTAGACTGTAAACTTCATGGTCAACAAACGTCTATTTTATTCACAGCTATATATTCTGCACCCTAGCTCAATACGTAACATATACATACAGTGTCTACTCATTTCCGGTAGAATAAATGAGTGAAAGAAATAATTAAGGTTAGAGTGACAAAAAAGGACATCAAGAGTTCCAGAGTAGTAATGAGTACAATGTTTCTATATATGAGAAGCATTTTAGATTCACTAAATGAGGCTGCGGTGGTAGGCTGGGGTGAGATCATGGGGAATCTTGAATGCCAGGCTACCAAGTTTAGCTTTTCTCTTAAGGGGGTAAGGAACTACTGGGGCTTTCTGAGGAGGAAGTTCATGACTGCAGCTGCATGGTGGCTCTGTGGAGAATGATCTGGAGAGGGAAGTGAGACATAGAGCAGACACTATAACAAGCAAAGAGTATCACAAGCAAAGAGTGTCATAAGCGTTGGACTGACATTAGATGTAGAAGATAATGGAATTAATTGAAAAACAACTTCCAATGCACTCTGGTCCAGCCATTCAATTAAATACTACTTAGCAATTCAAAAGAGTAACTACAGATACACACAACATGGATGACTCGCAAACTTACTATGGTAAGAAGCCACACTTAAAAGCCTACATACTAAAGAATCCATTTATATGACAATCTGAAGAAGGCAAAACTATAAGGGGGGAAAAAATCACTGGTTGTCGGGGGTGGGAAGAAGGAGAGGACTGATTACAAAAGGGCTTGAGGGAACTTTTTGGGGTGATGGAAATGTTCTATATTTTGGTTGTAGTAGTGGTTACACAGCATGGCTTTCTTTTTTTTTTAAACACGGGGTCTTTCTATATTGCTCAGGATGAAGTGCAGTAGCTATTCACAGGAGTGATCACAGTGTACTACAGCCTCAAACTTCTCGGCTCAAACAATCCTCCTGCCTCAGCCTCCTGATAGCTGGCACTACAGGCACATGCCACCATATCCAGCAAGATTTTGTCAACACTTATAGACAGTAAACCTAAAAAGGGTGACTGGCTCCATGACGCCTGTCCCTTCATGAATAAAACAGATGTAGTTTCATGTAATACCTCAATAAACTTGAATTTTTAAAAATCAAGAGACCTGTGCTCCATTAGGAAAAAAAAAATCCAGATTTCTAGCTGAGATACGAGGTCACAAAGTTTGCTAGGATAGGGAACCCAGGGTGAAGAGCAAGTTTAGAATGGAAGATGAGTTTTGAACTAGAGATCTAATTTCAATATAGCTTCAAAATATCCAGACAAACCCTGAAAGAGAGTTGGGAAGCCAGATTAGGAGTCACCAGAATGCAAAGGTCTTCGAAGCCAAGAGACTAGATCAGTATCACCAGGGAGGGTGTGGCGAAGAGGGAGGTGGTGATCCAAAGTCACAAATCCCAGGAATGCCCACATGTATGAAAAGGGAAGACTTCCAGGAAGGAAGGAATGAACAGTATGACAGCTAGCAAACACTAAGGCTGACACAGTTCGGTTCTGACTAGGAAGGGCCTGAGTGGAAGCAACACGAGAGATCCTCCAATGGGGTGGAAGCTGGGCTGGAGGTACCAACAGTGGTTCTCCCACTCTTGGTACATCCAGAAGAAGTGTGGCCGCCTGCCTTGAGCACCTGTAGGGTCAGGAAGGCAGAAGAGGACAAAGGGCGTGTTTAGTGACGCTCCATTGTGGATAGGCAGGTGGCCTTGCTACACGCCTCAGCGGCCCTACGACGGGCTAAGAAGCCGACTACGTACCCTCAAAACGCTCCAACAAGCCCTAGGAGGCCCCACTTCCGGCTTCCTCCAGGGCTCAGGAAAAGTCGCTACCTGCTTCGAAGGCTGATCGTGAAGCAGCAAGGCCCGCTTCATACCAGCGAATACCCCCACTCACCCCTTCCTCACCTCGGGCTCCCGCCCCGCCTCTTTCTCCCACCCTCATCGTGTCCCCACAGCCCCCGGCATCCATCGGCCCTGGGCCCCCACGGCAAAGCCACATCTCCCACCGGCCCACAGCCCTGAGGCTGAACAGCTGGGGGTCCCTAACTCGGGACCGGGCTCTCTCACCATCGCGGGCGCTGGATGGGCCGGAAAGCGGAAGTGCGGAAGCGGCCAGCCCCGCGATGCCTGCCCTTTCGCGAGAAGCGCAGCAGAGGTCTCCGCCCGACTTCCGGACGGTACCATCCATGCTCAGAGCGGGGTATGGAGCGCCTAGAACGCTTGGGCCTCCCGGAAGTTTTCCGGTTAGGGCTCTCTCGGTATTTTTAAACTCTTGTACACGGTTTACTACTCAAGATTCTCCAGGTATGCGTGCATCTCTCGCTTGTCCCTTCTGCCTTCTTGTCTCCTTTGCCACAGCCTCCCCCTAGACATGCAATGGTACAGCCCAGCCTCAGGTTGGGCACCAAATTAGGACAAGCTGAAGCGGAGGAGCCCTTCGTTTCTTCCGGTTCTGTGCCCCCATCCTTTCTCTCGCCCCTCCTACCCGCAGCTCCTGGGGTTCGGCGGGGCTAACTGCGGCGCCGCGATCTCAGCCGCCAAGCCCCGCCCCTCGCCCCGGGCTGTGCCCTGGGGCTCGCCTGAGGCCCACCACCCGCACCCAACCCCTAGTGGGCTTGCTCGAGGCCCACCTTTTCCCTACTTCCCTCAAATCCCAGTAGGCTCGCCCTCGCTGACTCCCCGCCCCCGCGTCAACTGCAAGGGGCCCGCCCATAGCCAGTTCCGGGGCGGTTGCTCCCACCGACCGGAACTCCCCGCGGCCTCGGGGCCGTAGGAGGCAGCAGTGAGGAGGTAGAGGGGGCGGGGGTCGCGCTAGGTGTCCGTGGATAACAGGGACTCTGAAGTCAAGACACTGGGGCGACCCCCGGGCGGTGCCAGCCATTAAATAGTCCCACTTCTTCTGTGCCAGGCACTGAACTGGGCTCTTGACTGGCATCATCTCTTAATCCTCAGACCATCCCAGGGAGGTAGGTACTGTTGTTATCCCCATTTTTCAGATTCAGACTTTTAATGGGGAAACAGACCTAGACTTCTTTTGTTCCCATTTTACAGATGGAAAAACTGAGACTCAAAAAGATCAAATAGGCCGGGCACGGTGGCTCACTCCTGTAATCCCAGCACTTTGGGAGGCTGAGGCGGGCGGATCACCTGAGGTTGGGAGCTCGAGACCATCCAGGCCAACATGGAGAAACCCCGTCTCTACTAAAAATACAAATTAGCCGGGTGTGGTGGTGCATGCCTGTAATCCCAGCTACTCGGGAGGCTGAGGCAGGAGAATCGCTTGAACCCGGGAGGCGGAGGCTGCGGTAACCCAAGATCATGCCATTGCACTGCAGCCTGGGCAACAAGAGCGAAACTCCGTCTCAAAAAAAAAAAAGGTCAAATAACATGTTCAGGGGCACATAAATAGAGAATGTTAAAGCCTGGGCTTGAACCCAGGTCTGTCTGGCTTACCAGCCCACGTTCTAAACCACTATTAGTGAGTGACTAGAGAAGTGGGAAATGTGGAGTGTGGTAGGACAAGAAGAGGCAAGAAGAGGCTGAGTCCCAGAGAACTTGGTAAGAATGGGGTGCTTGGAACTCAGTCTTAGCAGAACCCAAGAGAAAAAGAAGGGAAGGAAAGAGCATCAGAAAGGCAAGGCATAGCAGTATAGCATGGTGATCAGGGGTGCAGACTCAAGACTAGCAGGGTTCAAATTGCATCTTGGAAGCATAGGCACATGCCCACCCTTACAGAGTCTCAGTTTCCTTCTCTGTAAAAATGAGATCACAGTGGTTCATGGTGCTGAGCGAGAAGTTCAGTGAGATAGACTGATAAAGTGCTCTGCACCTAGCTTGGCACAAGTTAAGTGCCCTATGAGTAGGAACTGTGCCATCAATCTTGTCAGGAAGGGACTGAACTCTGGCTTCCTTGAGGCTGTCCCTGGAGGTAAGAAGCCCTTGTTTTCAAACTATTTTGTCCCCCATCAATGGCTCTGTCCTCTCCAGCTCCACAGGATCCCCATATCCTGGGCCATGAGTGAGTTGAAAGACTGCCCCTTGCAGTTCCACGATTTCAAGTCTGTGGATCACCTGAAGGTCTGTCCCCGCTACACGGCAGTGCTGGCACGCTCTGAGGACGATGGCATCGGCATTGAGGAGCTGGACACCCTGCAGCTGGAGCTTGAGACCCTGCTGTCTTCTGCCAGCCGGCGCCTGCGTGTGCTTGAGGCCGAAACCCAGGTGATAGCCCAGAGAGGGTCGGTCACCAGAGATGGACTGCAACAAGTTATGGGATGGGTCATTGAGTTAGCCCCATATGCTGAGACCTGGGATACAGGGGTTTGTGGGGAGACGGGGAGAGACCCAAACTGGGCTTGCATGACACAAAAGGACTATGCATGATCCTCTTAAATTGCAAGATTTCTAATTCACTAAGCTTTTATTGACACCCCATCCCCCATTATGTTCTGGGTCCTATGCTAGCTCCTAGTTGGAGCTTGCCAACTAGGAAAGGGAGAAAGTCAGGTACATACTTGTGGTGTTGTGGTAAGGAGTACTAGGGAACTGGAATAGGGAGACCTGGATTTGAATCCTGGCATAAGCACTTGCTGGCATTGCTATTTCCTAGCTATGTGACTCTGGGAAAGCTGCCTCATCTCTGAGTATCAGTTTCCCTATCTGCAAAGTGGGGTGAATAATAGGACCTACCTTAGGGCTTTCATGAAGATTGAAAGAGAATTTTTACAAAAGCGCAGCCCAATACCAGGCACTAAGTAAGCACTTCAGATATTATTTATTCACTATTCTGATTACTTTATTCACAGCATAAACATTCCCTGAGCCTTGTGTGCCAGGCGCTATGCTGTATCCTGCAAAACAGAGATGGTTAAAATGGGCTTTCTGGTCTTCAGTAGCTTATGGTCTAGTTGAAGAGACAAGGTGTGATGGTCATTCCAATGTGACCAAACAACACAGTTGGGTCCACGGTGGAGGTATGAAGTGCCAGAGACTTGTAGAGGAAGGAGGTGCCAACTAAACCTAAAAGGATGAATGGAATTAACTGTCCCTGGGAATCCACGGAAGCTCCTTGAGGAAGGCTATGACACAAGCTGTATTTGAGCATCTAAGAACCTGGGTAACCGATTCAGAGAAGGCATCTCAATAGTAGTGAAATCAAAGTGAAGGTTTGCTGAGAGGACTCTTCTGTTAAACAGTATGTGACTAGCACGGGTGATACAGAGGTGAATCAGAGTACAGACAAACAAGTGAATGAGATGATGAGAAGTATATGAATAAAGTCTTGAGGCGAGGCACAGAAAATGAGCTGAATTTTGAAGGATGAGTAAGAGTTGACTAGGTAAAAAGAAGATGGGGAAAGACCCAGGAGCCTCCTTAGATTCTAGATCCTAATTTATTCACTAGAGGAAAGAGATATTCGGTGTTTTCTGTTCTCCCCCTCAGTGACAGTTTCTGTAAATTTCAGATCCTCACTGACTGGCAGGATAAGAAAGGTGACCGACGATTCCTGAAGCTGGGTCGAGACCATGAACTTGGAGCTCCCCCCAAACATGGGAAGCCCAAGAAGCAGAAACTGGAAGGGAAGGCGGGACATGGGCCGGGCCCTGGCCCAGGACGGCCGAAATCCAAAAACCTTCAGCCCAAGATCCAGGAATATGAATTCACGGATGACCCTATCGACGTGCCACGGATCCCCAAAAATGATGCCCCCAACAGGTCCTGGGCTAGAGAATATAGAAAGGGGCCTTGAGGTTCTGGTGGTGGCACTGGTGGGGCAGGGGTGCCCACTTAGGATCTGCTTCTCCCTGCAGGTTCTGGGCTTCAGTGGAGCCCTACTGTGCTGACATCACCAGCGAGGAGGTGCGCACACTTGAGGAGCTACTGAAGCCCCCAGAAGATGAGGCTGAGCATTACAAGGTAGAAATCCTGGGCTTTGATAGACGTGGTGCAGAACAAGAGAGAATTAAAGCTATCAAAGCTATGCATCATCTCCCTTCCCCCACCCTGCCCAGCCTCCTATCTGCTCCATCAATGCATCCAGACACCCAGGCCCAAACTCAGCTTTCTCCATGCACTGCCTCCCCTCAACCCCAGCCAAATGGTCACCACACCCTCAAGCATCTACTTAGTGAAGTCTGCCCATGTTGCTTTATCTCTATCCCCTCTGCTTTGGTCCAAGCCTTGATCAACTTTTATCCAAACAGCCCCTTACGTTTCTTCCTGTTTTGAGGCCTCTGGAGAGAACTTTTTTCTTTCTTTCTTTGAGTCTCATTCTGTCACCAGGCTGGATTGCAGTGGCATGGTCTCAGCTCACTGTAACCTCCGCCTCCCGGGTTCAAGCGATTCTCCTGCCTCAGCCTCCCAGGTAGCTGGGACTATAGGCACGCATCACCATACCCAGCTAATTTTTGTACTTTTAGTAGAGACAGTTTCACCATGTTGGCCAGGATGGTCCGATCTCTTGACCTCGTGATCCGCCCATGTCGGCCTCCCAAGTGCTAGGATTACAGGCATGAGCCACCACACCGGACCTCTTCTTTTTTTAATATTTAAAACTCAGCCAGGCATAGTGGCTAACCCATGTAATCCCCTCACTTTGGGATGCCGTGGCAGGCAGATTTCCTGAGGTCATGAGTTTGAGACCAGCCTGACCAACATGGTGAAACCCTGTCTCTATTAAAAATACAAAAGTTAGCCGGGCATAGTGGTGTGCGCATGTAATCCCAGCTACTCGGGAGGCAGAGCCAGGAAAATCGCTTGAACCTGGGAGGTTGCTGCAGTGAACCAAGACCACGCCACTGTATTCCAGTCTGGGTGACAAAGCGAGATTCCCTCTCATTAAAAAAGAAAAAGAAGAAGAAGAAGATATAAAACTGTTTTCATGATGAAAATTAAATTTAGAAAATACAGAAAAATGTTGAGGGAGAATGCTCCCATAGGTCAGCTGTCATGATCAGATATGCTCATGATATGGCGCTGCTACTAGGCCTTTCTTCATCCCGTTACCTACAGGATCAAGTCCAAGTGTCTCAGTCCTTGGTGGCACAGCTCCAGTGCCCCTCTCCATTTTCCTCAGCCATACTCCTTTTCATTGCTGTGTTGACTGGTCCTACCAAGTACCTTGCCCTCATTCCAGGTCACCACAGGCTCCTTGCTGATCTCTGGGCCTCTGGCAATCTTTTTTCTCCTTGACAGACTTAACTCACCCTTCAAGGCCTTGACCTCATATTACCTCCACCAAAGCACCCTTTCAGTTACCCAGCAGAAAGTGAGTCTCTCTTTTGTGCTGCCACAACACTTTGATCTACCTCTTTCACGTCACTTACCTGATTTTTAAAAAAATTTATTTGAAAACGTAGTTCATAGTGACAGCAGTAGTACATTCAGACAATACAAACAGTAATTCCCTGTCACCTGTGACCTGAAGGCCCCTAATTCTCTCAAGAGGCAATTGCTGTGACCTGAGACAAACTGTGAATGTGGAGTATTCTGCACCTTCTATCTTGGGAATTGTTTCAGATTGGTTTCTGTGTATGTGTGTCTTAGTTCTTTTTGGACCTGTCTCCTAGAGTGTGAATGTAGAGGTTTTATCTTCTTTGTCCCTTCTTACCGGTACCTGTCACTGGGCTTGGCCCTGGACCTAGGGACTTGAGAGAGAAATAAGACAGATAAGTGAATTAATGAATGAAGCATGGCTGGCCAGTGTTTACCCACTCAGGGCCAGGTACCATCTTTACTACAGATCCCACCCCTGGGGAAACATTACTCCCAGCGCTGGGCCCAGGAGGACCTGCTGGAGGAGCAGAAGGATGGGGCCCGGGCAGCGGCTGTGGCTGACAAGAAGAAAGGCCTTATGGGGCCACTGACTGAACTGGACACTAAAGGTAGGCCCCCACCTCCCTGCCAGCCCCAGGTCAGGATTTCAGTTCCAGAACTTCAGCCTACCTGCCCTCCTTTCCCGTGCCCACTTAGATGTGGATGCCCTGCTGAAGAAGTCTGAGGCCCAGCACGAGCAGCCAGAAGATGGGTGCCCCTTTGGTGCCCTGACACAGCGCCTTCTGCAGGCCCTGGTGGAGGTGAGCACCCCAACCCAAAACATTACTTTGTGTTTTAATGTGTTATATTGGAATATATCATACATTGATTAGGTTGGTGCAAAAGTAAAAGCCTGTACTAATAGATAGCAAAAGATTGGGAATAATACATAACTTTTACACCAACCTAATAGAAAAGTCCACAGATCATAAATGTACAATTTTCACAAATGAGCTTGTATTACTAGCCTGGAAATTACAAAATGAAACATTACTATATCCTAGCAGCCCCTCTCATGTCTCTGCTTTTCTCCAACTTACCCCAAAGGTAGCCTCTACTCCACAGTTACTTTTGCTGAGCATTGGCTAAGGGCTGAGCTCTGTGGGGGTGCTTTATACACATCCTCCCTCTGGAGGCCAGGACAATGGTTAACCCTATGCTACAGGTGAGAATATTGAGGCTCAGAAAATGGAACTGTTTGTTTGAGATCTCACACAGCAGGATTCAAACGCTGGCTTCAGGGTCTCTGTCTTCACACCTGCTGGTTGACCTTAGACACACCCTCACACCCTTCACCTCATTGAACCTCAGTTTTCTGTTCTGGCTGAAACACAATAGTTTCTCTGATGTAACAGTCTGGGTACATGTTCCAGGTTGTCTAAGTTAGGGGAAGAGGCAGGTCTCTACCTCATATCATCAGACAGGGACCCCATCTGACGGTGGCCTTGCAGTCTGCACAGGGTCATTCTGGGTGTAATTGCCACTCCAGTCCCACAGAATAAGAGCAAGGAGGAGTGTGTGAAGGAAGCCTTTTGGGCCATGCCTAGCTGTGGCTGTTATCTCTTCTGATCACTTTCCCCTAGAGAGAATCTGTCACATGACCATACCCCCTTGCAAGGGAGCCTGGGAAATGTAATGCAGCTGGACAGGCATTGCCCAGCTGCTGCAGAGGACAGGAGAGCATGGCATTTAGACAATTAGCACCTCTGCCACAGCAGGCCTAGCACAGTGCCTGGTGTATTGCAGACACTTCACAAATCTTAGCTGTTCATTACCATTGTTGAGTATTAATCATTTCTCTTCTGTATTTCTTTGTTTTCGTATCATTACAAAAATAAAAGAGATTTCTAGAATGATCAAAGCAATTTGGGATCAGTACGGGAAGGCCTCCCAGAGTAGGTGGGATGGGAAAGATAAAAGGATATTTCTGGTCTGTGAAGACTATTGGTGTAGGTCAGAAAGGAGCAGGAAAGTGGAACAGCTCTTTTTCCTTCCACCCATTTCTGTGGTCTTCTAGGAAAATATTATTTCCCCTATGGAGGACTCTCCTATTCCTGACATGTCTGGAAAAGAATCAGGGGCTGACGGAGCAAGCACCTCCCCTCGCAATCAGAACAAGCCCTTCAGGTGAGTGGTGTCCTATCCTCACTCCACAATCTGGCCCCCGCTTCTGTTGGCTTCTGTCCATTTCAGCATGTAGGGGAGGTCCTCATCAATAGGAGACTATAATTAGGTGAAGCCCAATAGCAGTCTCAAGTGTGAGTGCTGGCCCAGCGTGTCTGCATGCACAGACTGAGTGCAGGGTTGTTCAGCACAGAAGTGTTCATACCATAAATAACCTAAATGTCCCACTGAAGGGGATTGATTGGCAAAATTGGCATGACTCCATATGATGAAATAACTTACAACTATTAATCATATAGTTGCAAGTATAGAGAAATATAGTTCATTGACATGAAAAGATGTAAATTATAGCATGCCAAGTGGGAAAAATGTTAGTTGTAGTCCAGTACAGACATTATAATCCTATTTTTACTTAAAATATATTTCTTTTTTTCTTTTCCTCTTTTTTTTTTTTTTTGAGACGGAGTCTCGCTATTGTCATTTAGGTTGGAGTGCAATGGCACGATCTTGGTTCACTACAACCTCCACCTCTCGGGTTCAAGCGATTCTCCTGTCTTAGCCTCCAAGTAGCTGTGATTACAGGTGCCTGCCACCACACCTGGCTAACTTTTGTGTTTTTAGTAGAGATGGGGTTTCACCATGTTGGCCAGGCTGGTGTTGAACTCCTGACCTCAGGTGATCCTCCCACCTCAGCCTCCCAAAGTGCTGGGATTACAGGCATGAGCAACCACACCCAGCCTAGTTAAAATATATTTAAATATGTGCACATAGGGGAAAAAACCTGGACTAATATGTAAAAGATTGGGGATAATATATAACAAAATCTGGAATATATATAACAACATATAACAAAATAATAGTGCTTCTCTCTGGGTTGTTGGCATTACAGGTTTTTCCATATTTTTTGGACAGTGGATACATTTGCTTGTATTTAAAAACCAGACCAGATGCTTTACATCTGGATAGATTACAGAGGGGGTGCTCAGAGGGAAAGGCAGGTGTTCACTGACCTTGGGAAGCCCTGGGAACCTCCAAAGTGGGCCCTCCTCCAAGCTGGCTCTTGAGTCTGACAGGGGCCTGTCTCCTCATGCAGTGTGCCACATACTAAGTCCCTGGAGAGCCGCATCAAGGAGGAGCTAATTGCCCAGGGCCTTTTGGAGTCTGAGGACCGCCCCGCAGAGGACTCCGAGGATGAGGTCCTTGCTGAGCTGCGCAAACGGCAGGCAGAGCTGAAGGCACTTAGTGCCCACAACCGCACCAAGAAGCATGATCTGCTGAGGTGAGTATAAGCAGAATGCACGGTCCTGGGGGTGGCCTTGGAGACCGTGGCCACAGCTGGTCACTTTCTAGGGGCTTTACAACAGGCTTTCCAAACCTGGCTGTCCTCTAAATCACCTGGAGAGCCTTGAAAAAAAAGTAGTGACCAGTCCACCAGGTATTTCTCAAACAAATTCTAATCCCACAGAGGGGGGCTCAGGTACCTGTGACTGATCAGTTGATTTGATTTGGTTTGGTTTTTTAATTGTAGTAAGGGCATAATATAAAATTTATGCTCATGGAAGTCTGACGCAGGAGAATTGCTTGAACCTGAAAGGCGGAGGTTGCAGTGAGCCAAGACTGCACCATTGCACTCCAGCCTGGGCAACGAGCAAAACTCCATCTCAAAAAAGGAAAAAAAAAATTATCCTCTTCACCATTTTTAAGTGTATAGTTTAGTAGTGTTACCTATATTCACATTATTATGTGATTTATTTTTTCTTTTCATGCTTCTTTTTCTCCCCAAAGTTTTATTATGAAAAATTTCATACATAAAATCTGAAATATTCATATAATAAACATCAGTATATTCTCCGCCTAGACTGATTAACTGTTAACATTTTGTTGGGGATCTGTGATTTTTATTTGCTCATCACAAGAAATTGATCAGTGTTTTAGGACACGTTCTTTAGGGAATCCGCCACAGTGCCTGCCATTCATTTGATGTCAACTCCCATCCATCTTGTCCTGCGTTGATAACAACAAGGGTATAAGTGACATCCAGAGGGAGACTGTGGAATAGCTGCCCTTTTGTTAAAGAGATAGGGAAGCAACCCAAGCAAGTCTCTTTGCTTCTCACCAGCAAGTGCCATGTCTTGACTTCACGGGGCCCTGACGGGTCAGGGCACAGTCATTCATTTGGTCGTTTTTTTTTTTTTTTTTTTTTGAGACAGTGTCTCACTGTGTTTCCCAGGCTGGAGTGCAGTGGCGAAATCTCGGCTCACTGCAGCCTCCTCCTCCCGGGTTCAGACAATTCTCCTGCCTCAGCCTCCCAAATAGCTGAGATTACAGGCATGCACCACCATGCCCAGATAATCATTTGGCCATTCTTTTTGTCTCTTAGTCAGACATTGTGCTGGGGGCCAGCAAGAGAGGCAGGGCAAAGGGCTTGCAGATTATTAGTAGATGATCAGTAAAGACAGGTACCATTAAAAGGAGAGGTAGTTGCTGACAAGCTGCTGCCAGGGTATTTAAGGATAAGGGTGACTAATGTATGTGGAGTGTCTACTGTGTGCCAGGGGCTTGTGTGCCAGGAGGGAGGTGGTATTTTCCTTGTTTACCAGATGAGGAAATAAAGGCCCGGTGAAGTGAAGTGCTCTGCTGAAGGTCACGCACTCAGTAAACAGCCAAGCTGAGACTTCATCCCATGGCTGAATCGAACCCTCTTTCTGTAATAGTTCATTTTTTTCTGAAGGGTGAGAAGAGGAAAACACAGATGAAAGAGGCACTAAAGGAAGGAGGAGAGACAGAAAAAGAGAGAAAAGTAGGCATGTGCAGTTACAGAAGTAATGGGCCCTATCAGGGCCTGGTGGCTCATGCCTTAATCCCAGCACTTTGGGAGACTGAGGCAGGAGGCTTGTTTGAGCTCAGGAGTTCAAGACTAGCCTGGGCAATGTGGTGAGACCTCATCTCTACCAAAAATTTTTTAAAATTAGCCAGGCATGGTGGCAGATGCCTATAGTCCTAGCTACTCAGGAGGCTGAGGTGGGAGGATCACTTGGTCCTGGGAGGGGGAGGCTGCAGTGAGCTTGATCAGGTCACTGTATTCCAGCATGGGTGACAGAGTGAGACCTGTCTCAAAAAAAAAAAAAGTAATGGGCAATAAAGAAATGGCTTGTGGCTCTTAGGAAACCAGAGCACAGCACTTACCCTGCTGCAGAACAGCTGCAAGGCCTTAAACACCGCCTGGCCTGAGCAGCAGCTTCTCCTTCTGGAAAACTGGCAGGCTGGACTCAATTGCTAAGCAACCTTCCAGCTCCACCATCAATGAAATGTATAAATCACATCCTATTCAGAGGGATTAATTTGGTGTCTCACCCACCTCCTGTCCACCTCAGGCTGCCTACACCGTGAGGGGGCTCTGAATATGGATGCCAAAGTAAGCAGGCCTTCTGCTGGCACCGGAGCACCTGTTAAAGAACAGTGTTTAAAAACAAGAGTTCGGCCCCAGCCTGCTCCAGATCTCCCACTTACTAACTGTGGAATCCTGGGATCCTTTCTGAGCCTCATTTTCTTCATTAGTGACATAAGAATAATAGTACATACTTTGCAGGGTTGTTAGGAGGATTAACAGAGAGAGAGAGAGAGAGCGAGTGTGTGTGTGTGTATGCATATGTATATTTTATTTAGAGACAAGGTCTTGCTCTTTTGCCCAGGTTGGTCTCAAACTCCTGGCCTCAAGTCATCTTCCTTCCTCCACCTCCCAAAGCGCTGAGATTACAGGCATGAGCTACTTTGCCCAGCCTACTGTATATGTTTTTAAGACCTTTTTTTTTTTTTTTAAGACAAGGTCATGCTCTGTCACCCAAACTGGAGTGCAGTGGCATGATCACAGTTCACTCCTTGAACTCCTGGCCTCAAGCAGTCCTCAGCTCCTTTGGAGTTGGGACTACAGGTGTGCACCACCACACCCAGCTAATTTTTTAAATTTTTTGTAGAGACAGTCTCACTATGTTGCTCAGACTGGTCTTGAACTCCTGGGCTCAAGTGATCTCCTGCCTTGGGTTCCCAAAGTGCTGGGACTACAGATGTGAACCACCATGTGCAGCCAAGACTTTATTCTTTTAGAGCAGTTTTAAGTTCACGACAAAATTGAGAGGAAGGTACAGAGAATTCTCATATACTTCCTGTCCTTACATGTGCACACCCTCCTCCCTGATCAACATGAGTTAATTTTTCAAGAGCTTAAAATTATGCTATATAAGTGTGGTTCAGTAACTGCTTTTTGGTCACGATTGTATGAAACAATCCACAGGCGTGCCAGCCTGGGCTGGTGGGTAAGCTCAGTCTGGAAGAGGGAGGGACCACTCTCTGGAGGTGGGCTGACCATGACACCTGGCTGGCTGGTCCCCAACAGGCTGGCAAAGGAGGAGGTAAGCCGGCAGGAGCTGAGGCAGCGGGTGCGCATGGCTGACAATGAGGTTATGGATGCCTTTCGCAAGATCATGGCTGCCCGGCAGAAGAAGCGGACTCCCACCAAGAAAGAAAAGGACCAGGCCTGGAAGACTCTGAAAGAGCGTGAGAGCATCCTGAAGCTGCTGGATGGGTAGCCCTCACCCTTGCCTCAGGCTGCCTTCTGGGGGAGGGGAAGGGAGGCCCACTTCCTTCTTTGGGCACAGGGAGCGTTGGCCTGTGGCTGTCCCTCAAATGGTGGCAGTCTCTAGAGGACCGTGGCCCTTCCTTTGAGGTCTTTTGGCCTGCCTAGCTCTGTATAGCCAGGACATAGGAAGCCCTGATGGGTTGGCCTGGGGCCTAGTCCGCTTGGTTCTCAAGATGAGGTTGGGGGGGCTTCGTTTCTGGATCTTCCTCTTCCCTCTCTTTACCATCCCCTACTCCCTAACCCCCTACCCCTCTCTCCCCGTCAAGGACTTCTCCCTGTGGTTTTATAAAGTGCAAACTAAGAATAAAGTGACTGCTGTGGTTTTTCAAAAAAAGCATCCAGTCTGAATGTCTGTTACGGTGAGGTAGGAAGGAACCAGTGTGGGTGGTAAGGTTTGTAGGGATATGCTTGGTGGCTCTCAGCCCGTGACCACCAACCTGTGGCATTCATTCAGGGAGAACTTTCTGAGCACCTCTTTCTGAGGTTACTCGTGGCTGCAGGTAACAACACCCCTCAGCTCCAAGTGGATTCACAATAAGGAAATGTGTGGGTGTGGACCGGGTGCAGTGGCTCAACACCTGTAATCCCAGCACTTTGGGAGGCTAAGACAGGTGGATAACATGAGATCAGGAGTTCAAGATGAGCCCTGACCAACATGGAGAAACACCGTCTCTACAAACAGTACAAAATCAGCCAGGCATGGTGGCACATGCCTGTAATCCCAGCTACTCGGGAGGCTGAGGCAGGAGAATCACTTGAACCCGGGAGGCAGAGGTTGCGGTGAGCTGAGATCCCGCCATTGCACTCTAGCCTGGGCAACAGAGTAAAACTCCATATCAAAAAAAAAAAAAAAAAAAAAGCAAATGTGTTGGCTGCAGGCTTGGCACCTTCAAGGTTAGCCAATATAGTAACTCTTCAGGGCCATCAAGGGTCCAGGTTCCTTAGGTGTTGCCACACTGCCCTCCACAGTGTCGATCTCTGCCTAAGCCAAGTTCTTTTCTGGTAGTAGTGTGGCAGTGGAGCAGTTGAGGCCAGATGCTTACTCATTTACGTCCAGCACAGGAGGGAGCAGGAACCAGCAGGCTTCCATGGCACACCCACAGGAGCAAGAAGCCTTTTCCCAGATACCATCATGTTTCAGTGGCCCAAACTCAGCCTCACATGCCCATTCCTCAGTCACTGTGGCAAGGGAGACTGTCATGGTTTTACACCAATCAGAGTGGAGTTTGCTACTCCATCAAGGTGGTAGAGAGAGAGGGTAAAACCCAGCAAGATCTGAGTAGGAAGCGAAGAAGTGAGTGCTGGATAGGCCACCAACAACGTCCCTTCCACAGCTGGGGCAGGAAGCTTGGCCTGCAGGATACAGATGAATAAATATGCTGTGGTACCTACCTCAAGTTGTTCCCAGACTGGTCTGAGAGAATCAGGGAATAATCTGCAATTTACTGTGGGAAGGTGGAGGTCCACTCAGGGGAGAAGGGAGGGCAAGGTTCCCCGAGGAAGTGACCTATGAACTGAGCCATAAAGGAGGAGAGTGAACAGGGCCAACATTCTTGTATACCCAGCACCTCTCTGTTGGATAAAAGTCCCTTCCCCATCACATGGCTCTTGTCCAACTGCCAAACTAAGGTGGACACTTGACCCCAGCTTGGCCAGTCAAGTGCCAATCTCTAGCCAGAATGATTAGTCCTAGAAGCAGGCATGTGACCCAAGGTGGGTCACTTGAGGCCCTCCATTGCTCTGTGGATGCTGAGAGGAGAGCTTCACTTCTTTTCAGATCATAAGCCATAGGCTATAAGCTCAGACTACCCCCGTGACTTGTTCTCCTCCCATGGGGAAAGAATAAAGCTAGCCCAGAAAAGCAGGGCCAGGAGTTGGAGAAGCGCTGGATCCAGCTCTGCCTGAAGCCACTGGATCCTCCCTTAGACTTCCCACATATATCAGCCCACAAAGGCTTCTTTTGGCTTAAACTAGTTTGCATTGGAGTTTTGTGACTTGTACCTAAAAAAGGCCTATTACAAGTGAATTTTGGCAAAAACAAAGCTGAAGTAGGATCCTGAGAGAGAGGACAGCATGAGGCCCTGCCTCCCACTAGGTGCGGGGCCAAGCTGCTGCAATTTTTCAGTGATCATTGTCCCCAGGTTGCTCACAGCCTTCTCAGAGAGAAAAGACACCCACACAGGCAATGATGAGAAACCAACTATAATCATAACGATAATGCAATTAAGTGCTCAGTAAATGTTAGGTATGTACCAGGCACTGTTCTGAGCTCATTCTCAGCTATCATAATAACATCCCAGTCACAGATGAGGAAACTGAGGCTTAGGAGGTGACATACCTTGCTTCAAGCAATTGAGTGGTTGAGCCACAATTGGAACTCAGGCCATTTGGCTTGCAGAGAGAGCCTCTTCATTACAACTCACTGTGGCCCCACTCCCATTACAGTCTATGTGAATGGTACTCCCTATACTTGAGCAGTGCCCAACCTGTGCAGCCATACATGGCAGCTCCGCTTGAAGACCCCTCCTCTTAACCACTCACTTCCATGTTCACTGGGCCACACCATAAGTATGGTGGGCGTTGTTAGTAGAGAGTTCCAAGAACAGAGACAGTTTTGTGGAGGAGGTGGGATAAGAGCTGACGTCCCAAAATTGGATAGAATTGTGAAAGAAGGAAGACAGATATAAATAGAAGGAAGAACCCTAGAAGACCAACTGGGCCTGGTTCACCAGGGAAGAAACTTAACTTTCAAGGATCAGTTGTGAACACTCTAGCTGTTCTCTGTTGCACAGCTACTATCTGCCTGGCACCGTGCCAGGCTGTTGACCCACCCCTCCTATCTGATGTTCACCACGCACCTTGAAGGGGATTTGTAATATTCCAACCTGCAGATGACACAGAGGCTCAAAGAGACACTGTGTCTTGCTGAGGCCATGCAGCCTTGATGCAGGAATAGTTGCTGTCCCCAGGTAGCACCATCCCTGGCAGAGTTCTTACAGTCATATCAGTGTCTGCTGAGCCAAAAGATGCCTCCTCTATGAATGTGGAGAAAGCTGGGTTGTCATCAGCAGGGCGGATTCATTCTAATACCTCAAGTCTCCAAATTTAACTCAAAACAATTCTGATTCCTTATCACTAGTTTGGAGGCAAAGCCTTTTGTGTCTTGGCCCTAGAAAGCATCTGTCTTGCACAACATGGTCTCCCCAGAGTTCCAAATACCTTACAGCTGACTTTCAGCAACACCAGGGTGAGTGAGAACAGGGAGGGTGAGCTCTGACCCACAGTGGGTCCCCAGCCCCTGTCTGCTCCTGAGTACTCTGGACACCGAGTACTCTGGGTCCCAGCTGGCTCCTGCTGAAAAGAAAGTGATGGCTGGAACTTTGTGGAAATGTGGCCAGGGAGTAAATTTCTCTTTTGGCCTGGGGCTCAGGACTCAATGGAGAGCACCAAACCCAGTGGATTGTAACTCACTCGTTCAGTTATCAATAAACTCCCCATTTCTTCTCTTCACCTACCTAATTACCCCATTCAGTTATTCACTCCATCTACACACCTCCATTTCCTCATTATACTTTTGTTCCCTCACTCAGTGACCCTGTCACAATGGCTGAGAGCTATGGAGGTGACTAAGGCTCCAGAGATGGGGACACAGCTAGACAGATAAAACACTAGGCCACAAGAGCAATAAGAAGACTGCACAAAGTTGGCAGGGACCTGGGGCAGAAAAAGACTTCACAACAGCTTACAGGGTCAGGAAAGGCTTCAGGGAGAATGTAGAAAGGAAGCTGCTGGGCAGAAGATAACATTCCAGACAAAAGGAGCACGGCACAGAGGTGTGAAGAGCTGCCCTGCTTAGAGAGAAGAGAGAACTACCATGTGACTGCAGCCCTGGGTGTTTGGAGGGGAAAGGAAAGGATGAGTAATGACGCTAGAAAGTAGGCTGAAGACTAGGCTGGGCAAGATTTTGAATGGCAGGTTAAGGAGCATGGACTTTATTCTCCAAGTCAGTGGTGTTCCAAGTGTGGTCCCTGGACTGGCAGCATCAGCATCACTTGGGAACTTGATAAAAATGCAAACTCTTAGGCCACAGACCTACTGAATCAAAAGCTATGGGTGTATGGCCAGATGTGGTGGCTAACACTTATAATTCCAGCACTTTTGGAGGCCATGGAGGGGGGATCATCTGAGGTCAGGAGTTCAAGACCAGCCTGTCCAATATGGTGAAAGCCCAGATTCTCTACTAAAAATACAAAAATTAGCCAGACATGGTGGCCCGCACCTGTAATCCCAGCTACTTGGGAGGCTGAGGCAGGAGAATTGCTTGAACCCTGAAGGCAGAGGTTGCAGTGAGTAGAGACCGCACCACTGCGCTCCAGCCTGGGCAACAGATTGAGCTCTGTCTCAAAACAAAACAAACAAATTTAAAAAAAAAAGAAACCTCTGGGTGTGGGGCCTAGCCACTCTATTTTAACATGCCTCCTAGGTGATTCCTAGTGTGTATTAAAGTTTGAGAATCACATTCTGAGGTAACAGGGAGCCATGAGTAGTTTGTGAGCAGAACAGTGCCATAATGGCACTCTGAATTAGACAGCACTCTCAAAGCAGCCTGGAGGCTGGACTGATGAGAGGGAGTGAGAGTGAAGTCAGTGCAAAGAAATACAAGTGAGATGGGGAATGTGGCAGACTGGTAGATGTCCTCCAAAATCTGTTTCAGCAATATTTCATGTTATTGGAATCATAAGTTGAAAATACTCTCCATACATTTGATAACAAATGGAATTTAACTTTCACATAGTGATTATCATAACCTTTAATCAAAAGGTCAAGACATATCATTCTTTGGGGTTCATTGTTGTTGCTTTTTGAGACAGGGTCTCACTCTGTTGCCCAGGCTGGAGTGCAGTGGCACAATCTAAATCACTGCAACCTCTACCTCCCAGATTCAAGTGATTCTCCTGCCTCAGCTTCCCAAGTAGCTGGGGTTACAGGCATGTGCCACCATGCCTGGCTAATTTTTGTATTTTTAGTAGAGATAGGGTCTCACCATGTTGGCCAGGTTGGTCTCGAACTCGTGGGCTCAAGTGATCCACCTACCTCGGCCTCCGGAAGTGCTGGGATTATAGGTGTGAGCCCAGCCAAAATAATAATAATAATTCAGAAATCTTGGAGCATATAGCCTTATCCTAATTTAGGATTACTTCTCTGAAATTGATTCCCAGAAGAGGAGTCTCTGAGTCAAAAGGCCTTGACATTATTTAAGCCTTTGATGCATACTGCCAAATTGCTTTCCAAAAGATCTTTAGCAAATCATTTTTCCGCCAGAATGTGGGACTA